TCATGATCCCAGGGTCCTGGGATCAAGTCCCACATTGGGCTCCCTGCTCCGCGGGAAGCCTGCTTCTCCCTCTCCCACTCCCCCTGCTTGCATTCCCTCTCTCGCTGTGTGTCTCTCTGTCAAATAAATAAAAATAAATAAATAAATAAAATCTTTAAAAAAATAAATCATATGTGTATTAAATCACATGACCCAAAATTTTCATCAGTCCTATTTATTTGAAAAATATGAACCAGGAAATTGAATGATTTTTGTGGCCTCATCTGCTAGCTTGCACAACAATAGCTTGGCTTAAATTTCAAGCTATTAAAAAAAAAAAGATTCAAGCTATATTTATCCCCAGAGTGACACTGAATACTTTTAGGAATGAGAACCATCTCGTGTGTGCCTGAGCTTAAGGCACATTGGTAATTTGATTCCGTCAGCACACCGGCTGGAGTACACGTGCCTTCTTCCCCTTTGTAAAGAGGATGACTTTTTGAACACATGTAACATCTGATTGAAAACTATACACAAAGTGGAGCCAGTACCCCCTGAGCCCAATGAGGTCAGGATCAATACAAAATTAATCAGTGACCTTTGCAAGTATTTAAACAATTAGTGTTTAGTGTGAAACGGATAATGAAAATATGCAGAAAATGCATGTCTAAAATCAAGGAACAAAAGATATGTTAGTTTCACTGTTTAGTATTTAAAATGTAATTGTGTAAAATAATTGAGGGGCACCTGGCTGGCTCAGTCTGTAGAGCATGCAGCCCTTGATCTCCAGGTTGTAGGTTCGAGCCCCATGTTGGGTATACAGATAACTTAAAAAAAAAATCTTAAAAAAATAATATATAAATGAAATTGCGGATGTGCAAAACATTTTTTTTTTTTTTGGCTAGATAAACCTAGGTTTGTTTCCCTAGGTTTATTTCCTGACTCTGCCTATCGTTAGCTCTCCTACCATTCAAATTCTCTTAGACTCCATCTGCTCATGCATAAAATGGGCTAATAATAACAACCTCATAGAATAACCACAGGATTAAAAAGAGATGTATATACATAAGGCATATTGAGCACTGTTTTGTGCCAGACATGTGCTAAATGATTTCTATGCATCTTATTGAATCCTCACAACATCCCCTCTAAAGTAAAAAGAATTCCAATTTCTTTTAAAGAAATTAAGGCTCATAAAAATTAGTTGTTTGCCCAAGCCATACAACTGACTAAGTGTTGTGGTTGACATCCCAAGTCCATCTTATCTACCCTACCTCCTGTGTTCTTTTTTTTTTAATTGAAATATAACACACAATGTTATATTACTTTAGGTGTCCACCATATTAGTTCAACAATTCCATCCATTACTCTTCACCACAATACCTGTGCTCAGTGTCACCAAGCAACGTTCTTTTTTTTTTTTTTAAGATTTTTATTTATTTATTTGACAGAGAGAGAGATAGCGAGAGCAGGAACACAAGCAGGGGGAGTGGGAAAGGGAGAAGCAGGCTTCCTGCCGAGCAGGGAGCCCAATGTGGGACTCGATCCCAGGACCCTGGGATCATGACCTGAGCCGAAGGCAGACGCTTAACGACTGAGCCACCCAGGCGCCCACCAAGCAACGTTCTTACGACATTATCGACTATATTCCTTGTGCTGTACTTCTCATCCTCAATACTTAAAACCACAAGTTTGTACCTCTGAATCTCCTTTCATTCTTTCACCCATTCTCCCATCCACCTCCCCAGTACAAGCCGTTTTTGAGGGAGCAATTTTAATGAAGCTGCACTTGGTTCATTTCTTCTGTTTAAATTGAGATTTAACCCCCAAAAGTTGAAAATAGAGCTACCGTATGACCAAGCAATTGCACTATTAGGTATTTACCCCAAAGATACAAATGTAGTGATTCGAAGGGGTACCTGCACCCCAATGTTTATAGCAGCAGTGTCCACAATAGCAAAACTATGGAAAGAGCCCAGATGTCCATCAACAGATGAATGGATAAAGAAGATGTGGTGCATATATACAATGGAATATTACTTGGCCATCAAAAAAGAAAAATCTTGCCATTTGCAATGACGTGGATGGATCTAGAGGGTACAATGCTAAGTGAAATAAGTCAGTCAGAGAAAAACAAATACCAATTATTTCACTCATGTGGAATTTAAGAAACAAAACAGGATTATAGGGGAAGGGAGGGAAAAATCAAACAACGAAATCAGAGAGGGAGACAAACTGAAAGACTCTTTTTTTTAAAGATTTTATTTATTTGACAGAGAGAGCACAAGCAGCGGGAGAGAGAGGGAGAAGCAGGCTCCCTGCTGAGCAAGGAGCCTGATGTGGGGCTCAATGTCAGGACCCTGGAATCATGACCAGGGCGGAAGGCAGCCACTTAACCGACTGAGCCACCCAGGCGTCCCTGAAAGACTCTTTAAGTCTAGGAAACAAACAGGGTTGCTGGAGGGGAGTGGGGTGGGGGGGGATGCGGTAACTGGGTGAAGGAATGAGCTCTGGGTGTTATAGGCAACTGATGAATTACTAAACTCTACCTCTGAAACTGATAATCTACTATATGTTAATTGAATTTAAATCACATGCCATAAAATTCACCATTTTAGAGTGTACAATTCAGTGGGGTTTCTTTTCTTTTAAAGATTTATTTATTTGACAGAGAGAAAGAGAGAGAGCACAAGCAGGGGGAGTGGCAGGCAGAGGTAGAAGCACGCTCCCCAGTGAGCACGGAGCCCGATGGGGGACTCAATCACAGGACCCTGGGATCATGACCTGAGGCGAAGGCAGCCGCTTAACCGACTGACCCACCCAGGCGCCCCAAGGGTTTTGTTTTTTTTAAGTTCATTTATTTATTTAAGTACTCTCTCCCCTCAACCGTGCAGCTCTAACTCAGGACCCTGAAATCCAGGTATAGATTCCTCCACTTAGCCAGCCAGGTGCCCCCAATTCAGTGGTTTTCAGTGTATCCTCAAGGCTGTGCAATGTCACCATTATTTAATTCCAGAACATTTTCGTCACACCAGAATGGAAGTCCACACCCATCAATAGTCCACCGTTCCCCGGGCAACCACTAATATACTTTCTGTCTAGATGGACTTGCTGACTGTGGACATTTCATGTCAGTGGAATCAGGCAATATTTGTCCTTTGGCTGAATGACACTGCATTGTGAGCACGGCCATCTGTTTATCCATTCATCACTTGATGAACACTTGAGTCACTTCATATTTGTTTCCCTGTTAGTTATAAATAATTCAAAAAAACCTTGTGGCTAAATCCGTGTCACTTCGGGGTAGGCCAAAGAGCGAAACTGCGATGAAAGGAAGTCAGCTGCCTAAAAAAGGAGGTCTTCGAATTCTTCAGAAACCGGGTGCGAACAGCCCCGAGCCCTTGTGCACGCGACCCGAAACCCCGGTCCGAGGCGGCCGGCGGCCGGCAGGGGGCGCGCGCGGCTCGCCGGCCGCGGTCCCGGAGCCTCCCCAGCAGAAGGAGCGCGCAGCGGCTCCCACCCGCCTTCCGCAGGGGTGGGCGTAGGCGATCCGGCCGCCAGGGTTCCTCCGTGACCACCTGCAGCGCCCCACCCCCGTCGCACGCACCACCTGTAACCGCCCACGCAACTCATTGTTTGTAGCCACTGCTTCTCGCCCGATACCCCCCGACAGAAGCTCTAGCACCCCGGAGCAGGGGTCTTTGTGGATTTGGGTCCCTGAGAGGTCCCTGTGGATCTGGGGCTGATGGAGAACAGGGAGTGGGGCGCGCCGAGGGGTGGCGGGGCGGGAGTCGGAGGACCGGCTGGCCCCACGGGACCTGCACCTGCACCTGCCCGGGAGGGGGGGCACTTCCAGCAGCAGCTTTATGGCAACAGGAGGGAGGCGCAGGGGCGGGGGTGTCAGGGCAGCGTGGGGGTTTCTGGAGAGGAGCAGCGTCTTCACTCTGCAAAGGCGCAGAGGACGCGCAGCCGGAACACTGGGGGCTCCGACCCGGCGAAGGGGAGCGGGCGGATCCAAGGGTCCTCGCGGGCCTGGGGAGGGTCGCGGTGAGCAGAGGGCCCGGGGCGCCGTGCGGAGTGGAGGCGGGAACATCCCCGCACCTGGGCCGGTGAGGGGCCAGCGGGCAGCAGTTGGGCTGATGCTGGGGCCTCTCAGTCCTCCACCCGCCAAGTGTCCAGGAAAGCAGCGCCCAAGCCCGCAGCTCCGAGACCCGCAGCTCCCCGCTGTGGTCGGGGTCCCCACCGCACTAGGTGGTCGGAGAACAACAAGCGTCCATCGGTTGTGGGTGGGGCTGGGCCGAGGGCCAAGGGAGGGACCGGTGGGCGAGGGAGAAGGGGCTGGTGGGCATGGGAGGGACCGGTGGGCGAGGGAGGGGGGAAGGCTGGGCGAGGGAGGGGCGGGTGGCGAGGATGCTGCGTCGTCTAGGATGTTGGGTTGAGCGGAGCCAACGGTTTCAATGAGCATAACAGCCTCCGCTCGCTCAGGCAAGTGACAGGAGATGTCGAGGCCTTCAAACGAAAGCTCTGGTTTCCTTCGCCGCTAGCAGGCGTCAAACCCCGGGTGAAGTCCCGGGGTCTCAGTTAAACCCACCCTCTGAAGCTGGGAGAGCCCCGCCCAGAGCTCGATTCCAGGCCGTAGGATCGCTGGCGCTCCGCCCCCGGGCGCTGCTGTCCAATCCCGGGCTGGTCACGCCCCCTTCGCGAGCCGTGACCCCGCCCCCGCGCGCGGATTGGTCAGGCCACCAGTTCGGCTCCGTGTGGCGAAGACCCGGAGCAGCAAAATTCACCCAAGGAATGCCCCCGCCCGGCCCTGCTGCGCATGCTCGCTCCGTGACCCCAGCTTGAGGTGACGGCCCGAACCGAGGCGGGGCCCCAGGCAAGAGGCTGCAGGACCTGCCGCGGCTCGGTCGCCGGAGAGGGAGGGCTCCGCTGCCACCGCCGCCCTGCCGGTGCCCGGTGAGCACGGGCCCCAGCGGGCCGGGGAGGGTCCCGGGTCCCACGGAGTGGCCCGGCCCTCCCGGGGGTCCCCGGGGCTGCTGATGCTGGGAGGGGGGGTCACCCGGCTCTGCGTCCCGGCGCTCAGGCCGCCTCCTTCCTCCTGGCTGCTCCTTCCCCCCATCCCACCCGGCTCCGGACTGAACCCCGACACCCCCAGTCAAGGATCCCCACATTCGTCTGCCTTTCCTTGACCACACCCAGTACTGCCTCCCTCCCTGCAGCCATCCTCAGCCTCGTCCCACTCTGGCAGTTGGAGTTGTGAGATATTGGGGCAGGGGGGTGGGACACCCCGGAGGCTTGCTGACGAGGTGGTGGTACTAACCGGAGGGGAGGGGAGCCGAGAGGAGGGGCCATTTGGGTGCAGGACAGACAGGATTGATGATAAATTACAGTGTGTGAGGAGGAGTACAGGTACCTAAGAGCCAGGGCGCTGAGGGGAAGGTGGTGTCCTTACCTGAAAATCCCACTGTGGGCAGGCTCTCCCCTACCTACTACAGAGTAGCAGTCCTTGACCTTTTTTGGATCCTTGCTGCCTTGAAACTCTCCCTGTGAGGATGTGTACCTGCGCACCTGAGTGGGCCCATCATCCCACCGGCAGCCCAATCACAGTCCTCCGTGAGCCCCGTGGGACAGTGATGATCTGGGGCGCAGCTGCCAGTACCCCCAGGACTTTTGGAAACAGCGTACCCTTGCCTACCTGCTATTAAGAACCTCTGCCAAATTCCCCACCATTCCCATCATACAGGTGGAACCAACCCGGAGAGGGTGAGGGATTTGTCCTTGTGGCTGAGGACACAGGTGCCGGTGGATTTCGGTGGCATTTTTCCCCCATATGTGTGGAGGTCATTCTTTTGAGCCCTCGTCAGTGGCTGGGCAGGGTTCACGCCTTCCAGAGTCTCAGGAACAAGGGATCGGACCTTGTTATTAGTTACCTATTGCTACTGTAACAAATTACCACAAATGTAGTGGTTTTAAACGACACAGCTTCCTAACAGTCTTATAGTTCTGGAGGTCAGAAGTTCGAGGTGGGTCTCAGGAGGTTAAAACCAGGTGCAGGCAGAGCTGTGTTCCTTCCTAGAGGATCCAGGAGAGACAATCTGTTTCTTTGTCTTCTCTAGCTCCTGGAGGCCTCCAGATTGCCTGGCTCCCTGCCGCTCCCTCCTTCTTCAAAGCCAGCACCATCCCGGTCTCTCTGACCCTGCTTCTATCCAGTTTTCTCCTTCTCTCTTCTGCCTCCCTTTTGTACTTTTTAGGACCCTTGTGATTGGACCCACTCGGGTCATCCAAGCTGCTCTCCTACTTTAGTAACTTTCACCCCATCTGCAGACTTCGTCCTGTAGGTTCCAGGGGTTACGGCCATTAGGCCCTGATTCTGCTTCCCAGAGTGTCTGAGGGGCTCCTGCCAGTTCCTAACGTCGTATGATTTGGGGTTCACACTGAGCCACCTTGACACTTCTGGGTTGGCTTTGTGCAGACCCATGTCATGACAGCGGGTTAGGATGAATGGGTGACTGGAGGTCAATGGTGATCTCAAACCACCGGATTTCAGAATTAGAGAAAGGGTGTCAAGGGAAGTGAACTATTAAGCCCTTTGCTCTTTTTAATTCATTTCTACTTCGCTTTTAAAAATTCTGTTCATTTGGGGCACCTGGGTGGCTCAGTCGGTTAAGCATCTGATTCTTGATCTTAGTTCAGGTCTTGATCTCAGGGTCGTGAGCCCTGTGTTTTATTTTTTATTTTATTTTGTTATTAAAAAATAAAATAAAAGGGGCGCCTGGGTGGCTCAGATGGTTAAGCGTCTGCCTTCGGCTCAGGTCATGATCCCAGGGTCCTGGGATCAAGCCCCACATCGGGCTCCTGGCTCAGCGGGGAGCCTGCTTCTCCATCTCCCTCTGCCTCTCTCCCTGCTCATGCTCTCTCTCTCTGTGTATCTCTGTGTCTCAAATGAATAAATAAGATCTTTAAAAAAAATAAATAAATAAGATAAAATAAAATAAAAATTCAGTGAACTTTCATTGAGTGAAATTTAACTTTCAAAAAATATATATTAGACTTAAAATAGCTGCCTGTCAAGTCTTCCCTCCACACCTAGAAAATTTCTAGAAGGATGACTCCAGAAAAGAGGCTGATCCAGCCTGAAGGGCGTACCCACTCCTGTTCATGGAGAGATTGACAAGCAGTTCAACCTATCAACTAGCAGTTACAGATTTCCCGAGTGAAAGGCCCATGGCGCCATCCGTGTCTCTCACAGTATCAGAATCAGATGGGGTACTGGTAAAAAATATAGATTCTCCAACCCCTCTCCAGACCCCTTGAGTGGGGGTGGGTAGTGGAGTAATCCAGGACTGTGCATTTGTCACAAGAACCCCGGTGATTCTAAGGTATGGTGAAGTTGGGGGACCACTGGTTGTAGACTTCATTTCCCTTTTTCCTAATTCTAATAGTTTTATGGAGCTAACTCACATACTGTGCAGCTCACTCTCTCACAAGGTACAATTCAACAGCTTTTGATGTATTCAGAAAGTTGCACAACCATCTCCATGGTCAGTTTCAGAAGATTGCCTTCCCCACTGCAGAAGCCATCCCCACTAGCAGTCACTCCTCATTCTCCCGCTGCCCTCCCCCCACCCCTAGCCCACCACGCATCTCCTGTCTCTTAAGGATAGATTTTTCTACTCTATAGATTGGTCTCTGGGTCATTTTATATAAATGGAACCATATGATACATGGTCTTTTATGACTGGCTTTTTTCACTCAGCATAATCTTCTATTTATTTATTTATTTTTAAGGTTTTTTTTTTTTTTTAATTAAGATTACAATTTACCCTCTGACATGGGGCTCGAACGCACGACCCCAAGATCAAGAGTCGCATGCTCTACTGACTGAGCCAGCCACACACCCCTCAGCATAATCTTTTAAAGTTTCATCCATGTTGTAGCATAATTTTTTTGAATTGCCAAACAATATTCGATTGTATGGATATGCCATCTTTTATCCATTCATCTGTTGATGGGTATTTGAATTGTTTCCACTTTTTGATGACAGTGAATAATACTGCTGTGAACATTCATATACAAATTTTTTTTAAGATTTATTTCAGAGAGAGAGCGAGAGCAGGGGGGAGGGTGGTGCAGAAGGAGAGGGAGAGAGAGAATCCTAAGCAGACTCTGCGCTGAGCACAGAGCCCAAAGAGGGGCTTGATCTCACGATCCTGAGATCATGACCCCAACCAAAATCAAGAATCGGGAGCTTAACTGACTGTGCCACCCAGGCGCCCCTCACTTAAAAGTGTTTATGTGGACATTTGTTTCGAGTTCTTGCACATGTACTTGGAGTGGAATTGCTGGGTGATATGGTGACTCTGTGCTTAACGTTTTGATGAGCCGCCAGACTGCCAACATGGCTGTGCTGTTGACAAGCCCACCAGCAGTGTAAGAGGCTTCCAGTTTCTCCTCATCCAAACCAACACTTGTTTTGTCTGGTTTTTGTGTGTGTTCCTTTTATTATGTGCATCCTGGTGGTGTGAAGTAGTATCTCCTGGTGGTTTTATTCTGTGTTTCTCTCATGACTATTACTGTTGAGCATCACATATGCTCACTGGCCATTTGTAGATCTTCTTTAGAGAAAGGCTTATTCAGAGCCTTTGCCCATTTTTAAATTGGGTTATTGGTCTTTTTGTTACTGAGTTGTAAGAGTTCTTTATAAATTCCAGATATAATTCCCTCATTAGAGATATGATTTGCAAAAATTCTTTCCCACTCTGTGGACTGTCTTTTAACTTTCTGGATGGTGTCCTCTGATTCACAAAAGTTTTAAAATTTGATGGAGTCCAGTTTATCTCTTTCTTCTTTGGTCGCCTGTACTTTTCATGTCATATTGAAGAAAGCTTTGTCTGATTTTAGGTCATGAAGCTTTACTCCTATCTTTTTTTTTTAAGAGTATTTTTTAAAAGATTTTATTTATTTATTTGAGAGAGAGAGAGAGAAAGCACAGAGGGAGAGTGTGAGGGAGAAGCAGGCTCCCCGCTGAGCAGAGAGCCCGATGTGGGGCTCCATCCCAGGACCCTGGGATCATGACCTGAGCAGAAGGCAGACACTCAACCGACTGAGCCACCCAGGCACCCCTAAAGAGTATTTTAAAGTTAGTATTTGTATATGGTGTGAGGAAGGGGTCCAGTGCTGCAGGATTTCATCCCCAGACTAGGGGGAGCCTGCAAGCCAGAAAGGTGGGCTGGCTCCAGGAGATGTGCACTGAAGCTGATCTGAATGTGGATTGGGCAGGATGGCCTGTGCTAGGGCTTCTGCCATAACCTCTTTCTGCCCAGAATGGCTCTTCCAGGGGAGACTTTGGTGTTGTCCTTTCTGAAGCTGGTCCCCATGTTCCTCCAGGACTGCTATGTCACCCTGTGGGACAGGATGGGCAGGGCAGGGAAGGACTGCGCTGTGGGAACAGGGGTTGGCTTGTCCCAGGGCTGAACTGGGGGGCCAGGGGCAGGAGGGATAGAGACACTGAACCCAGGGGTGCCTTGGTCAGGTGACCCATTACCAGGCAGATTTCCTTGAGGGCTCACCCCTTGGAGGTGAGGGCTCCATGTCTGTCGCAGTCCAAGAGGTCTCTGCTTTTATGTCTAGTGGCCAAGGGACTGGGGAGGAGGGCTTGCAGGGGACAAGGCACCCCAAACCCTCTTTGGCATTGCACCCCGACTTCTCTCATGGATGGGGTCTTAGAAAACTGGAAATCGGGGCATGGCCACCTCAAGCCATATGTATTGGGAGGGGTCCCAGGAAACAGTGAGAACTGCAAACCGGGTTAGATAAACAGGGTCAGGGGGCAGGTAGATGTCTGTGAGCCTTGCCGTTGCCTGGGTCCTGAGATGAGCAGGGGAGATGTCTGCTAAGGATGAGGTCTTGTTTCTGGGCTAATACTGTACGCTGATGAAGACCCTGCCAACTGCCCAGCACTCAATCGCGCCCAACAGACAAAAAGGCTACTCCGCATTGCCCTGCCGTCGGCCCCTGTCATACGTCCTTTCTGCTTCTCCAGGCCAGAAGCCAGGGAGCCCAGAGTGACTGTGGATTCTCCGGGCACCTCTACAGCCTGGTCCCCTCCCGGCTGAGGCAGCGCCAGCCCTGCTTCAGGCACAAGGTCACTGCCTTCCTGGGACCCCAGCATTTCCTGAGTGCTGCGTGGTCCAGGGCCTCCAGCTTGGGATGGGAGATGGATCTAGTTGTGAGTCCAGGGAGTCCTGCCTCCCAGAGCCAGGCGTCCCCTTTGTGGTCTGCAGAGCGCCGGCGGGGGCCCGGCTCGGTCTCCCTGTGACACAGTGTCAGGAGGAAGGCCACCGGGCATTCTGGGAGGGTCTGTGACATGAGCCCATGTGCCAAGTGCTGGTCCCTGAGGCTTGGTGCTCAGAAAGGCCAGTTACCGTCGTCCTGGACGAGGCACACCAGGTACTGTGTGGGGCGGGCTCTGGATCCCCCTCGACCAGACTCCCAGCTCTGCACTTCATGGCCATATTGGCCATCCTGCCGTGCCTCAGTGTCCTCATCTGTACACTGGGCCAATAAGAATGATCGACTTTCGGGGCGCCTGGGTGGCTCAGTTGGTTAAGCGACTGCCTTCGGCTCAGGTCATGATCCTGGAGTCCCGGGATCGATTCCCGCATCGGACTCCCTGCTCGGCAGGGAGTCTGCTTCTCCCTCTGACCCTCC